TTCCGTCTAGTTAAATTTAGGTTCGATTCTCCTTGAAATTATTTCAAAAAATGATTTTTCAACGCATTTCGTTTTTAATTTTCTTCTCAATTTTCCAATCCATCTTCTTGCGAATTTCGACAATTACTATCCATTTAGTAGACTCTTTCGTCTTCCTTGTTTCTTTCTTTCTTACTTTCTTTCTTTTTGTTTGGTCCGCTTCCGGAGATCTCAGTGTCATAGAAAAATAAACTATAAAAAGTCGATAAAGAATTTATTGAAACTATAGTCAATTTACCTTTATTCTTTGATTCCTTTTCGTTTTTATTAATTTCATGAAACATATATAACAACGCCAAACATCATGCATTCTTTAATATTAAAACTTTACTCTAAGATTTGAAAAATATGCCAAAAATCAGTATAAAACATTAAAAAAAAATCACTATAAAATTAATTAAATTAATGAAAATTTAAATGAATTTGGATCATTCATTGATTTGGGTTAATTAAAAAATCTGGGGTATATATATATAGTGATGCTCTGTATTGGTGATCGAACTTTTATAAATATAGTCAATATTGGCACAAGAATCAATGCTGTTTAGTGACTGTTTTTAGTGACTTCATTTCAACCAAGATACCATGAAATGTTGATTTCTATGTCCACAATATATATATATATATGTATATATATATATATGTGTGTGTGTGTGTGTGTGTGTGAACTTGTTTTCATCACTGAACTCGACAGAATGCCATTCATTCTCCTATGTGACCTTCTAGCGACACCACTGGTGACGTGATGTGGCCTAATTAGAAGCCTGGTTAGAAGTATCTATTCCTATAGTCCTCCTGCAAGGAAACGATTTCAACTGTGTCGACACTCCAGGGTCCACATTGTCCGTGCATTGTGCTATGCACGCCAAGTCGTCTACCACAGCCGCACTTATAATTCGTTGATTTTAGCGGACTCTGTGCTAGGTGTCCGTCCGGACCTTACGGAGTTTACGGGTATAGGAATGTTTATTCGACTACTGTTGTCAATTTTAACAAATCACCGCACACGCATCATGTCAAACACGTGAAACAATCGTCTAAAATTCCTATTCAGCCGCTCAAATGTCACTACCTGGCCCTTCTACAGTAGCTATACCAGGTGTATCTGAAAAGTAACGTGACTTGTGTCACAAACAATTTATTTCAATTCCAAACAACAAACTACATGGTTTCCCCTTCAAAATAATCACTTTTCCATCCTTCTTTGCCACGCTTCTAAGCACTGCTGGAAGGATTCTTCTTGGATGTCACTCTGCTTCGTCGTTACAGACCTCTTGATGGCTTCCACACCTTTAAAACGGGTTTCCTTATGATCTCCTTGTTACACGAAGCAAGATCAGGGGAATAGTAAGGCTGTTCCAGTACGGAGATGTTCAGGAACTACTGGATGCTCAGGGCTTTGTGAGCAGGTGCATTGTCGTGGTGAAGTTGCAACGATTTGTAACCAAAGCTGAATGAAGGAAGGAATGTAACATTGTAAATCGTTAGCTTTGTTAACAGGTCTATCTTGTGCTGGTTGAGCACTCTGCCTGTACAAAGCCTGGGAGCACTTGATGAAGAGGGATACAACACCAAGGGGAAATTTATACGGATAGGAGGTGAAGATAACTGTTAATTCTAGACTTGAACATGTTAAGATTGTAGTAATCGGGGAAACATCTTCCTCGGAGTCTGCTACACAGACTCATTCCAAATGCATGTATCTTGGATTACAAAAAATGACCAAATATATATAATAATTACATAACTGATATACAAAAGTTCAACATATCTAATATTTTGCTATTTTCTACAGGTACCTGATATCTCTTTTGCTGACGGCGTAACTTCATAATGTCGTGGACTTCAAAAGAAATTGCATATGTAGTGGAAGCATACTTCACGAACCAAAGATCCATCGTTGCAGCCAACAGCATTTTGGAAAGCGACAGTCACCATCCCGAAAGATGATCCTGCATGCTGTTACAAACTTCCGTGAGACAGGTAATACCAACTATTGTTTGAAATGAGAGAGCGAGCTCGTGTATGTTCTCTTCGTGAAGGTGACGATCTCAGGGATGTAATATTTAAAACTTACATATGTTGGTTAAACCTGGTGGAACGAAGGAATGTAATTCGTTCGAGCATTTTCCGTGGAAGTAGCGATAGAACAGTGAGAGACTCGCCACGTCCCACCTGTGAGACAGAGATTGATGAGTGGAAAATAATTTGTCACCCACAAGGACTCGGAGACGCTTTTGAACTCTATCAAGACTGGAAAGTGAGGACTGGGCAGCTCCCGCCCAAATATGACAACAATACTCCATTTTCAGCCTATTCTGGCTCTTATATATTTCTCACTCTCAGATATGTTAAACACGATATTTTCAAATTGGTTACAATCTATAGTGAAAGCCGGAGTCGAGTGGGTGGTATTTCGTACAGGTTGATAGAGTACTTCATTTTTTTCTAAGGCTAATTATTATATTAAAGATATTTTTTATCCTTAGCGAGTAGATCGAGAATCAACTGCAAGTCGAATTCTTAACGAGCTAGGAATGTAGTCATCGGCGAAAAAAGTGCTTCATAGACAAAATGGTGCATCGTGTTTGTTTTGTCAGCGAGACGACGTAGAGGGAAATATCCAGTCGGTATTGGATGTATACTCCCTTCTCCGGAAATCAATCTGGAGAATCTGCTCGGAAATAGCAATCTAATGAGAATTACTGAAAATATTACTGTTCAAATACAAAACATATATATCCTTTGGTGTAAGAAAAACCGTGCTCAATGTTAAATAACAGAGCTAGAATGTGTCTCATCATTATAGGATACGCTATATATATTGTCGAATTATGCTCATAATATATATGTATATCATTACGGGACACGCTATACATGTATATATATATATATGTGTGTGTGTGTGTGTGTGTGTGTGTGCGCGTGCGTGCATGGGGGGTGCGTGTGTATGTGTATGTGCCTGTGTGTAGGTGTTTCAGCTGAAGTAAAAAGAGAAAAACCTTTAGTGAGTGCAGAGAAATTTCTAACAATTAGCAGCAGCAGCACTCATCAGCAGGCAGGTTAGGTTTAAGTTTCCAAGTTCTCCACACATAATTTACCCCACGGGATGACTGGATTGAACGTTGGTTTGTGAATTTGGTGACATACGTGTTCACTCACTGGGCTGGGTAGTGTGTACTTGGACAATTGAAGCGGGATAAGCAATAATTGTGAAGTACTAAATAGGAACGAGACGCGTTATTTCCCCTGGAGATAGACAGCAGTATGAGAACAATCTACTCACACCGATTAAATAAAGAGTTCAGTTCGAAATTTCCTGAAGGCTACCCGGATCGACAATCATCGTTATTTCGTTAAATGTTTCATGATGCATCTATGATTTTAATCTTTTTTTGTTTCATAGACTGCACAGAGGCATTTGAAACTGTATGACCCAAAGAACTATTTAAACTGTTAGGAAAACTTGATTTATTCAGAAAAGATAGAATAATTCAGTAAATCTATTGTGTTTAAAGCACCGGTATACGGATAGAAAATGAATTGAGTACATTCACAAAAAGAAAAGGGCATAAAACAAGGATATGTCTTCTCACTGCATTTATTTTACATATACAGTGTGGCAATCTTAAGAGAACTAGAAGTTCTACCAGGATTTATTACTGGTGGACCCAATTTTAACAACATAAATATGCAGATGACATTATGTTGATGGTTTATACAGAAAGAAAACTGCAATAATCCCGAGACAAGTTTGTAAATGAATGAAAGAATTAAACATCTATTATAAGAAGACAATCGTTAACCAGAACAGCCAACGAGCTACGAAATGGAGATGTCAAAATCAAGTAAGTACGAAAATCTGGGAAATGTTTTAACAGATGATTGAATATGACACAGAAATCTGAAGATGAATCAGTATAGCAAAAATGTCTTCCAAAAGCTAAGAAATGTATTAAGAAACAGGAAAATTTCATTAAAAAAAAACAACAAAGAAAAGCGTGCTGAAATGCTATGTAATACCTATCCTCCTATATAGAAGTGAATGCTGGATAATTTCCTCACAGATGAAAAGGTTGCTTGGTTGATTTTGCTTAACTGCATATCCACCTCTATGGGTTAATCAATTTTGAAATCTAAATATTTTGAACACAATTTTATGGTTACAGTTACAGATAAAGTTTATCGTTGGTCATTTTCGCTATAAAATGTATGATTGGTAATTTTTATATAAGAATGTATTGATGATATTTTTACTATAAAAATGTATTTTTATACTTTCATAGTGTTTAGTTTGGTAGTTCACTATTTGTCCATAGATGGGACCCTATTACGTGCTACCACCCCGGGTCAGGGTGGATTTGAGAACAAAAGTAATTCAGATCTTCAAAGCATCTAATCTCGTGATTAGGGACCTTGCTGCCTAATGCAGTTTATCGTTATACCCAGGACTAACAGATAAAAAGGAAACTCGAGGCAACAGAAATGTGGTACGACTTGATGGTTGCTATAAAAAGGAAGATGGGAGTAAGGAGAAAGTTTTAAAGAAAAATAAGAACGAAAAGGATACCTGTGCATAGGATCAGACGGAAACAATTGGCATTTCCGAGGCGCATAATGAAGAAAGACTTGGAGAATTTGAAACTCATAGGATATATTGCGTGTTCAAAGGACAGAGGGAAAACAGAAAGTCACCTGTCTGATAAACTTGCGTAAATGGATGGTAGAACAGGGAGAAATAGTAAAGGAACAAACATTGCTTAAAGTTACAAGAAATAGGAAATTGTGGTGAGTCATGATCATTTATATCCTGAAGGGACACAGAAGAAACCCCATTGTAAAATCTCATATTAATTATAGGTTTCTCAAAACGTTTTATATGTTTATTAAAATTTTATATTGTTTATCGGTTTAAAAAATACGGTATTAATTATAGGTTTCTACCTCGAACCTATTAACTAACGGCCATATCACGTTGAAACACCGGTTCCCGTACTATCAGCGAAGTTAAGCAACGTAGAGCATGGTCAGCACCTAGATGGGTGCCCGTTTGAATATACCAATTGCTGTCAGCTTGGATTTGTGAGTGATTTAATTGATAATAACCTGGAACTGTTAATCGGATAACCGAGTTCCAATTCCAGTCAGGTTTGTTGTAGTCACTTACGCACAAGTAGCCTTGAAAAAAGTATGAATCCACCTCTCTTCCCCCAAGTTAAGGGTCAATTAATAAGACTTTATCGTTAAACGAATTTTGTCTCCCCAATGTTACAATCTAAAAAATAATTCTTGTTTTGAATAACCTGCAAAGCTTTGATAGGCCGAAGAAAACTAATCAATAAAAAAAATCTAGAACCTATTAATGGCCACCTCCCCCTTTTTGGATATCATAAATTTGTTTATCTCGTCATCTTTCATGTCAATGAAAGACAGTATTTTGACAAAAGTCATTTTTAGTGCCCACACAAAAAGTAACCGATTTATTTGTATTCGAGACCCAACCAATTAAGCTAAACTCTTGACACTAACCTTCCTAGTGTAATAAGCGGATGTTGCTGTTGGGTGCACAATTGGATATTTGCTTGTTGTTTTCCAGTGTCTGAGACTTTTTACAGTCGCAAAACAGGTTCGAAAACGGGAAGTCCTGTTTAAATAATTCAATTATCATACGCACACAAATACCCACACACAAACCCATATTCACACACACGCGCGCGCGTGCGCACGACCCCGCGCAACATTGCTATCTTGTGGGATTTAAATTTAGTAGAAAATGTCGCACCCTTCATCAAATCCGTGTTTTAACATTTCTTTCAAACAAGGAAATGTTTTGACGAGTTGTAATATTTAAAATAACTGCACCTTTGTATTATTGTAAATTGATATATATATATATATATATATATATATATATATATATGTATGTATGTGTGTGTGTGTGTAGAGAGAGAGAGAGAGAGAGAGAGAGAGAGAGAGAAAGAGAGAGAGAGAGAAACAAAACAGTATGTGTTTGCACTAATCTGTCTTAGGAGCTTCTGTCTGCCGGTCGAATCAGCAACAAAGGAAAAGGTGAGGGAAAAAATTTCTATAATCAGGGTTAATGAGCGTTCTCGCTCCCGCTGGCATTAAAGGTGAGGTTAGCAGGCGTCAGTTGAACGAGTGTGGTGTAGAATCCCCTCCACTCGTTTTCTTTGAAAGAAATCTCAATTTAGGTAAGATAGTCTCGTGATTCTAACACGAGTCCGCTCTTCACGTGTCGTATTTTGAACAGTTGCACTGACGACATTGTTCTATTCGATAATCCTGAATGGCAAACATTTTATTATTATTAGTAGTAGTAGTTGTTGTACTCCATATTTTTGAATACTTGGAGTAATCTGGCAATGCTTATGATCTGCATTAGATCAAACCCAAGGAACAAGATAAAAATAAACAAATGTAGACGGAAAAGTGATAAGATGGCGGTGTGTTAGTTTTTCAGATGAAAGGAGTTCACCGACCTTGAGAATCAGTATCCAAATTCTTAACTTTTACTTCGGCTGCAACACAAATCACTGTCATAAAAATGCACAATGACTTGTCCCACACTTCGCAGATATCAATCAAATTCTATCTTCTATTCATATGCTGCTTCATACAAGATAGTGTAAAAATTACTAGAATTCTATATAGAACTTCTGCTAATTGGCTAAGATAGTTGCATACACTCTACTAGTTTCAGGGAACGGTATCCTCTAGCGGTGAAAAAAGTGAATATTTCGAATCAGGTGATAAGGATCTTTTTAAGGTGTTCTCGCATCTCTCTCCTCATGTTATCAGCCATTGAACATTTTTGTAAACCAGTAGAATCTTTGGTGAATTATAGTCTTCCATCCTCAACCGCTGATGAGCTATTTTCAAGATAAGCTCAATGCTGCAAATCTGCTTGTAATGAAGTCCATCGATTACACATTCACTGCCAAGCTACTTCAACATCAGGTGAAAAAAATGAAAACAGTGTTGAAACGAGGATACAACATTATATTGCTCGTTAGGAAACTGATAAAAGATTTGAAAATTAAAATAATAGACATAAAATTACCTTGGAGAATATGTTGATTGATGAACTTTCTGCATATGTTATATTCAAATTATCCAGTTCGAAGTCCAAGCGGAGATATGAACACCGATAGTGAGAAAAGAACAGGTTAAAAGCCTCATCAAAAGAGCATCTGTGTGCTCTAGGAGAGAAAAGCACAGACAAAATTGTATTTATTTTACATTTCATATTTCATAACACAGTTTACACATATACCTTGAAAGAAATTTTCATTAAATAACATATACCCTGAAAGTAGTTTTATTCATGTGTGCATACAGATACAGCTAATGACGCTAGACATGCAATGTTCACACGGATTTTTATGTGGAGATAAAAAAAAATTTTAAGTAAAAATAATGTTTTATACTTTCTGTACGTTTACAAAAAACATGATAACGACTAACAAAAAATATATAAATGCAGGATTTTTTGACATTTGAAATAATGTCTTTACTGAGTAGGAAACACCTTGTAACTATTGTTCATATTTTTGAAGTTGACTTTGTGGCAACAAGTCTTAACCAGTTCTATACATGGTGACAAGTATCTCGTCCATTGCCACTAAACATAGTAAAAATTCTTGCCAGTTGGAAATATTTGTAATTAACTAAACCCGTTGAAATTTCACGTATGTCGCCAACTAAGATTATCCATTATCTCATTCTTCTGCTTTTCTCTTACTGCATCTTCTCATTCTCGATTTTGTCACTTCCAGGCTTCGTTGCCTTTCCATGTTTTTATTTAAATGCTTGTAGTGGAAATGGTAGTTATGAATGCAGTAGAAAAAAATGAAAAAAAACTTCGCGGCCAGCGTCAAAAGAGACGACGAGTAGGCTGTGCATTTTTTCGTAACCACAATTATATTAGAAAAAAATCCTTTTTTATATGACGCGTATATTTGAATATTGAGAGCGTCCTTTAGGATAAATGAGAACGCTGATCCGGAAGAAGGGGAGTCGTTTATCCAACTTTCATTGAGATTGTGCCACTATGCATCAGAATAATTCGAAACAATGGAAATTATTCTAGCTTATTTTACAGAAATCTGATGTTCTTTCATTCAAATTCATTATTAATAGAGAGTTCCTACCTACAAGAAAGACAGCCAGAGAGACTTAGAGAAAGAGAGAGAGAGAGAGAGAGAGAGAGAGAGAGAGGGACATATAAAGAGAAAGGTGGATTTCGTGACAACAAAGTTAATAATGAAAGTTTAAGTAACTACCAGAATAAACTGGACCAGTGTAAATTCCATGGGCCTTGACAACTATCAGGTCTTCATTCGTTTATACATTTCGACCATTACTAACAGAATGAAGCTAAGTGTATTGTAATTATATATTTTTTTTAATAAGATGATTCAACATAAACAATAAATTAAGAGTAATTCAACATAAATTAGGCTAGAAAGAAAGATATTATAACGATTTCTTAATATATATATATATATATATATATATATATATATATATATATACACAACAAAATACAAAATTACCTCATATGGAGAGGGATAGATCCATTTCAGCCGACAAATCTACGTCATATTCAAACCTGTGTATAGACAGTCTATACACGGGGTTGAAAGACGTAGTTTTGTAGGTTGTAATAGATTTATCCCCACCCCATATGAGTTAATTTTGGATTTTGTTGTGTAATTTATATGCTCTGTTATAATAAATACATTGAGCTCTTTTTGTGGATTAGTTTTAATATTTTATATTACTAGGATCCATTTGCATTATATTCCATCAATTTATTACCTGTATTATATATATATATATATATATATATATATATATATATATATATATATATATATATATATTCTTGTATACGTATTGCAAATTTAAATATAAACTTAATAACGAGAAAATAGATTAGAAAGATATTATATATATATATGTGTGTGTGTGTCTGTGTGTGTGTGTACATATATATATATATATATATATATATATATATATATATATATATATATATATATATTATCGTCTGTCTCACTCTCTATCGATATATATGCTGGATTCTACCGTTGTTCTCGACGTATTAGTGTCAAGCAACTCAATTCCTAGGAACCGACAACCAAACACCTGCTCATATGATTTGATTACAATGGTGAATGCTTTGTGCAGAAAGAAACACACTTTTGGAAGGTTTCTAAACGACCCTCCGCGGGTTTTGAATTCAGGGTTGTCCTTCTCCTAGTCCTGCTGTCACCTAAGGCTATAGAACTTAGTCTGTCCCACTATTTACTCATAGCTGGGGTGGGGGAGAATACTAATACAAAGGGTATTAGCACGCAAGTAAATGTAATGGAATCGAACTCGGCTCTCCGATTCCTCAAACCGAGTCTCTATCCATTACCCCACCGTGCCATCTATCGATATATATATGTATGTGTAGTGGAATATGCGTGTATAAACGAAGAATAAAGTTAATCTTCAAACACGGTTTTACAAATTTCGATAATTCTTTTTTATTTGTGTATTATGTTTCTTTCAAATTGAAAGAAATGAATTAAAAATATTATCCGCGAACAACTTCACACAAAACATTTTGTGTATTTTTTTTCTTTTAAAGTACCACCCAATGAATTGTGTTTGTATAGGATACACAGAAAATGCGTTTACATGTGTGCGGATGTGTGTGCTTTGTTTTCTCTATCTATAACTCTACAGCAGTCGAAATAGACAAAGTACTGTTGACGCATGTAAACAAACCTGGACTGATTGTTTCTCTTCTTGTGTCAATATAGCTAAGCATCTTTTGTAATATCATATACTCAAATAAATACGCAAACATTGTGAGTAATTAATTAAGTGTGAGAATTTCAGTTTTGTTTCTGTAACAAACGATCGAACAAACACCCTGGTCAAATGCTCCCTGAAAGACTAGTAGCAAACAAGAAATAATCATAATTATAATAAAATCATCGGTCCCAAAATACACCAAAATTTAGATTTATTAATCTCAAGCTTATTGGTTAAGGAA